CTCTTGAGGACAGATACAAGGGTTATCACAAAATTAAACAAAAACTTTTTCAAAACACACAAGCAATTTCAAAATGAGCAAGTACCTTCCCTTTCTATAATCTACCTCTCGTACTTAGAAAATCTCGAAAAAAAAGTTTTTTCTGTTCTTTTTCCTTTTCCTTTGTTGGATGAAATAAAAGTCGGTGTCGACTCTTGCTTACCGCGACATTTGCGAATACAAAATGCAAATCAGTATTAACAGTCAGTTTTTCCACCGTATCACAGTTGGGATAGCTTTGTGAAGAATGAGATGCTTGTTCAGCATACTCATGTTGTAAAAGGTCCCTATAAACATCCAACCGGTTTTCTTCCCTGTCATCTTAACTCCTCCCTTGGTTTTAATTTTCTCAGGTAGTGGACACAAGGAAGTTGTTGTGAGGTAATCAAGTTTATAAACTCTACTTTTTAATTCTCTTTTACCAACAACATCTAGTTATATAAACCTTCTCCATAATTCTTCCATTGCACTACTCATGTCAACCTCTGATCCATCTTCTACATTTTCATGTATCTCAACTTCCATACTTAGCTTCCTCCAATGAACATGAACACTTTCTATTGGTATCGATATACCACCAATAACGTATCTCCCTAACTCACAAGCACGAGGTAACCCATAATTTGTTCTATGAGTACAACCATATTTTTGTCTGATAGTTCCAACATAATCAACCCTCGATAACTCTTCAACAATGTGTCTCATAGCAACTCTAGATACAGAACCACACAGATTACCATAAAATAGACTTACGTGTGTGTTCTCAACTTCATAAAAACTTTTTTGAAATGAAGCACGAATGTTGCCTAATTGTAACCTTAGATTGTTGTTCATAGCTTCCCAATATTTGACCATGTCACCAAGACTATTTCCCAACATTTTCTTTAATTTTCAATGTGCAGACTCAATCCTAAAAATTAATGCATAAAAATATAACATAGTAAAAAACCTAAAAAAATAAACCTTCTAAAAATTAATGCATAATAAAATATAACATAGTTAAAAACCTAAAAAAACATTCTAAAAATTAATGCATAATAAAAATATAACATAGTAAAAAACCTAAAAAAAATAAATATTCTAAAAATTAATGCATAATAAAAATATAACATTGTAAAAATACTACAAAAAATGACATATTGATTAGTCGTGGTGTTATCCAAATGAAGCACTCGATTAATTCATGCTCCAACTAATATATGTCTATGTGAAGTCAGCCATGTGTCTTTCACATAATTAATAATATGGAGTCAACCATGTGTCTTTCACATAATCAATAAATTCACTACAATCAAAACATGCATGCTCAAGTTGGTGCAACCGTTAACTATACTCAACCTCATCACTAGCCCATACAAGATCCGTGCATAATGTGTTTATCGTCTCTTGCATTTTTGTCACAACATATTTCTTGCATCTCATCCCAACATTTTTGTTAATGTGAAATCGACATAGCAAATTAATTATCGTAGGAAACACAACTTCAACTGCTTTCGTCAAAGCAAGATCTCTATCTGTCAAAATCACTTGTAGACGCAAATATTTCTTCACAAACAATTCCTTCAGCTTCTCCAAGACCTAACAAAAACTATTTGTCTGCTCAGAATCCATATAAGCAAATGCAACAACAAATGTCAACTTGGTCGATGTCATGCCAACAATTTCAAACAGAGGTTATTTATATTTATTTGTCTTATAAGTTTTATCCATAACTAACACAATAGAAAAAATATTCAACAACTTAATTGAATCTGAATGCGTCCAAAAAACATGTCTCACAACTTCTGAGTCTTCTCTTTTTCTACTCTGATAGACATAGTTTGCATTCTCTATGAGCTTAAGCAAATGTTTTATCTCACTTCTTTGACCTCTTATCTTTTTTTCTATCACACCTTTCTACTTATATATTTGCGTGATCTGAGTCACATTCTCAGGATCTCGCTCTTGCATGAAAAGCAATATGTGTCTAGGTGAAACATGTCTCTTTTTGTCAAATATAAAACATGTTTCTTATCATCTGCTGATAATCTACCAACAAACGCATGACCTTCAAGTCTATAAGATAATCCATGATTATAAGTTCCGCATTTTACATCAACCTTTCATCCACACACAACTTTTGACGAAGTCGACCTGATTTTGAATGGACATCCACATCTCTTAGTCCCACTTTGAATTTCACTTCTATTCTTATATTTACCTTCTTTATCACACGCAAATATTATTTTGTTACTTCTTCCTCTCTTGCATGTTTCGATGTCTGAACCCTTGATAATAACAGTTACTTTATTTCTTATTCCAACCTCTTTAATCCAGCTTATAACTTCTTCTCCTCGTATATCGAATGTTTGAGTAGTGAAGAATACATCAGTGGTATCTACAAATGATTCGTTTTTTTTTTAATAAATTTGGTGCGGAATTTTCATACCTGAAAAGTAAAAAAAATTAAAAATGCGCATCGAATGACTTTACGAAAAAGTGTTCCGATTTAGATTTTAGGACACACCAAAACACTTTGGAAAAGCGTTCTGTTTTACACATCTTTGTACTGGAAGACTTTTCAGAAGTGTTTCGGTTCATACAAATTTTCAGTTCAAAACCGAAAAACTTTAACAAACTCTCGAAATGTTTTTTTTTAAAATACCGAAATACTTTATTCAACTGTTCCAATTTGTTTCAATACGTACTGGAAGACTTTTTTGATGTCTCCCGAAATAAAGTCGTTTGATGTAATTTCCAGATTTTTTTTGGTAAATAGTAAAAAATGAAACAGTAAAATGATTAAATTTCAATTAAGAATAACTTTGACATTTTTACAAAATTGCAAGAGTATATATATATAGAAGTAGGAGTTCAAAGTAAAATTTTCCTTAAATAAGATGGATAAATTTTTGCAAACCCAAAAAGAGTGATGGGCTTAGAGTTCGTGATCTCCATTTAATTAACTTAACATTGTTAACTAAGTGACGGAGCGGCTAATCTTTTAACTTATTGGTCTTTAGATTTAAAATATTTTGATCTTACAGTTTTCATGTCTCTTTGATAAAAAGAAATAATAATTATAATGCATTATTAATGTAAAATATTCTACACAATCAATTCATCACAATAATTCATATTTTTATATAGTTAAAGAAAACTAATGATTATACATTGACAATGTAGGTTTCTCACCGTCAATCAATAAGAATAAATTATTTAATCATATCATATCAATATTTAAAATTTAGTCTAAAATAACATAGTTTAAAATAACAAAATTCATAGTAGTGATTGGTTGACAGATAATTTTAGGTCAGTATATATTTACATAATTTAACAACTATAATTCACTAGCAATGTCAATACGTTTTAAATTAAAAAAGAAAATACTTTTTATTATTTTATTTTGATTTTATCCTCCTAATTTTTGTTCTTTCCTTTTTATCTATTTAATATATTATAGCTTTATAAAAATATACAAATTGAAGTGAAGTGAGTTGTCCTCCAAATGGTTGTTAAACTTGTTTGGTAATTAATTTTTGTGATTTCTATTATATAGATATTTGCGGTGAATAAAATTGATTTTGTTATAATGGAATTTGATAAAATTAATCTTAACAAAATTAAATTTAATAGAATTAATTTATGTTTAAATAAATTATATAAAAGTGAATTGAATAATAAATTTCAATATAAAAATTATCCAAAATCAATTCTAGAACATAAATAATAAATTCTAGCATCAAATAAAATCAATTATGAAAATTCTACTTTTGAAAAACCATACAATAATTACAATAATTACCCGGAATCATATAATTGAACCAAACATGCACTTACTGTTTGAAGGTTATATTGGAGCTCAATCCCAACTAATCCAAGTGATATGGAATCATATAATTAGATCTTGATTTCAATTAAATCAACACAATTATCTCATTTGCTACGATAGGTATTGTTTTTATTAGTTTTATATTATTGGTTTGATTTTTACTTGTTTCATGTTATCGATCAGATAATGTTGAGGTCTTATGTATTTTGAGTGATAACTACAATGTCGCTTTCTTTTTCTTTTTCCTTTTAAGACTCAAAGGGGCAAGAACCAACTACGTCTGTATTTAATTTTACCGTAGCAAAAAAAAAAGTGATTTGTGATTATGTAAAAAAAAGTTATCTATATTTTAATAGATCACGTATAGAAGACTTAATAAATTTCATAATTAAATTCACATTCAATAAAAGATTAAAAAAAACTCCAAATCTCAGAGGTTGGATAGCCCGTCTCAGCCGCAACTAACATGTTATGGGACGCTATATTATATCTTTATCACAAACAGCTAGACTTGAGACAAATATATTAATATTAATCGCAATAAGCTAGCTTTTCACGCCATGTGTGATAATAGCACAGAAAACAACGACTGTTATTAGACCGAAAAGAGTTAGTGATACTATAGATCAACTCATATGTAATACACACATGAGAGGGTAAAAGGCAATTTCTCACTATTCAAATTAAGTCTGAATCTAAAATTATCATGTGTTCCTCTCTCAAGTGATCGGTAAGAGATCACACTTTACCTTCTCATAAGATTAACTGTGAATCTAAAATTATCATGTGTTCTCTCTCTCTCTCTCTCTCTCTCTCTCTCAAGAGGTTGGTAAGAGATCCCACTTTGCCTGTTCATAAGATGATCTACTCATATTTTAAGTGTGGTAGCATCACTCAAATGAGAAAACGAAAAGAAAGTAGTTTTAAAGGTGGCACGTTGGAATTACTAAACTACAAATGCCTAATCTTAAGCATAAGAACATCACAAAGGCTGAAGCACATCACAAAGTCATCTCTAAATGATAGTGTAATTAAAGAAAATGTACAAACTATTATTGACTTCCTGATACAGGTTTGGCTTTTGCATTTAGAATACCCAAATTAATGCCAAAAATGTGGTGTTATAACATCTCATTTTCCCCCTAATTCACATGAGGATAATTCCAATTATACTTACTCCCCAGAAGTTAGCTTTTTTTCTTGTGTACGTTTCCACTCTGAAATAGCCCATCTGTTTGCAAATCAACATTTCAATAACTGCTGTTACTTATCACATTAGTTGAACACATCAATGACATTCTACTTGACTATATTGACCTTAGTTTCCTAGGGATTCCCACTATATTAACCTCAGTTTCCAAGAGATTCCCACTCTTCGGCTTGTTTTAAACATCATCAAACAGATTAATTTAAATGACAAACCTACCACTAGTAGAGACACCTAAGTAAGGAAAGGTATACGTATGACTTACCATTTCTACATTGCAGAGAAAGACAATTAGCTAATCTGTTTTGCACTCACTAAGTTGGGGGAAAATATTAATTTTAGACGAGTAAAAGGTTCCACATAATGTTTTTTTAATGGCAAATTGTTAGTAGCTAGTTACTAGTATTACTTTTTTCTCCTTTGTCAGGGATTAAATCCATGACCGCCAACTCCTTTAACTCTAAGCTTAACAACCAGTTGATCTACCCCTCACATCTAAACCTCACTCAGGTTCCACATAATGTGATCAAAAACACCAAAGCAGTAACAGCAGAAGAGACACAAAAAGATACGCACTATGATGAGATGAATGATTGGGGTACAAAATCTGCAAACAAGTATATATGACTTTCATTCTAAAGTGCAATCACCTTCCAACAACCAATCTTCTCAACCAGGAACCACCTTAGTGTAGAATGAGGTGACAGGGAATATCCAGAATCCTAATACCAGTCAAGAAATTCCAGAAACAATTCACAAATATGTTTGGGAAGTATGTCATATTTCTAGAATCTGATTGTGGTTTATATAAGTGAAACATAACCCCAGGGAAACGGGAAGGATAAACTAATCATTCACAAAAACTTAATCATATGTTTATGAAGCATGTGCGGCAACACCAAAGAGATACTCTCATACCTTGAAAAACTTGAAAACCCTATTGACCAGTCTTCAAATTTATACTTACAAAAGTATATTGGTTCCTAGAAGAGAATCATAAGGAAACAAAAACAATATTCAAATGTCACGAGTATAATTTCAACAACATATATTTACAATGTTAGCTGACAATAAAAAAAGCAATCACTACCAATTTTTCATTGCAGAAACTATGTCAAATTTAAAGCAAGAATAGAGAAAAACAAAACACTAACATAGTATTTTTGTACCGCCCTTGATGTTCAAAACAACCCACAAGCCAGTTTGCTGAATGATAGTTTTGAGGCATATTAGGTTCCAGTCCGTACATTAAACCTTAAGAGCTTTGCTAACACTGCCAGGACAATTCTTAGATGTAATAGAAACTGATTATATAAGAATGATACACAACTTGACCAACAATACTTCCCTGACTCGTTCATGCTTCATAGACAGAGCAAAACGTAAGGCCAAAAAACATTTGAAACGCTAAAATTACATGAAATTAGTTCGACTAATGATCATAAGCATATACCTGTCAATAACAGTTAAGAGAAGAAAATAAACATAATAAATTGCAACACAGATATAATTACGAGCATGTTCAGTCAAACAACAACATTGCATAGTTGTGGCATTTGGAGTACAGAAGCTATACACAAAAAGAGAAGTAGAGGCCTAAAAGGAAATATGTTGCGGCATCATGTAACCATTATTTTCAATGTATTGAATTTCTATACCACCTTATGTATTCACATACCAACATGAGCATTCTACATTAACACATGCACCATAAGATGAAATGGGAAACAACTTGAGTTCGGCAGTGCTAAAAAAAATCTCATGACCTAAACCAACTAGAACTATGAAAATTAGAAATTTCAACCTAAAAAAGTACAAACATGCGAATAATGCAAAAAGGAGAGACAACGACATACACAACTCATGAAAAAAAAAAATCTCTCAAGACCTTTCGATCATACTAACAGATCGAGCCAACCGAAGAGTAAGGCTACCTCCATGCACACTTGCCTCTGTCTCAACAGGTTCACACTCATATTGCTTCCTGCACCCGGGACAACGAGCATCCTGCTCAAGAATCCTCTTGTGGCAAAAGAGACAAAGCCGAAAACCACAATTGCACGGAAGAAAACTTGTGTCCGTTAGATCGAGATCCTCACAACAAATTGGACAAGGGGATGGTACAGAAAGGCGAGACCAAGGGCCCCCTCCTCCAAAACGCCGGTCTGGATTCGGCATACTATATTGTTTTGAAAGATTGGGCAATGTCTGGGGGCGAAGAGCATCATCCACCCTCCAAGCTCTACCATTGCCAGAGCCCCAAGGAACCATCCCAGCACTACCTGGATTGGAATTTGGATATCCTAAACTTGAACCATGAGTCAACTCACGAGATAAATCCGTTTCCACAACAGGTTCATCATGTGAAGACGTTTTGTGCTTGTCATCAGCGGCTAAAGCATCTGCCACAGCCTCCCAATCATCCAAGCATCCATCATCTTCTTCTACCTCTTCATCATTATTATCCTCTTCCTCTTCCGTAACATTCCCAGAGAAACACCCACCACTGCTAGAACTACTACTGCTGCTCCCACCGCTGCTACTACCCGTGAAATTCGTCCCAGAATCAGTCCCACCACATAAAACACTACAATTCGGACTGATAGGACTGTTCGACGGCGATTCCGAATCACTGTCTTGATGGATCACATCCTCCTCACCTCTCCGCCTCGTTTCCACTTTCTCCAATTCCTGTTTTCCACGTTTACCCATAGGCGACGACGGCAGATGGATATCATCCTCCACTCCATCCTTACACCCCTTATTCTTTGCAGCACCTAACAAAAAAACCAATAAAACAAAATCAACACAGCAATAGATTAACACAAACATCGATTTTCACATCAAACATACCTTGAGATAACCATTGTTCGCGACGCGCATCAATCTTATACTGCTTCAATTTCGCAGACCTGTTGGTCTGAAACTCAAACAACACAATCACTGAGTTTCGATTGACAAAAAAAATGCATATTGCAACAAAAATTGAAAAAAAAAAAACGGAATTAGAATGAAAACCATACCCTCTTCTTCTTGCCTGGGTTCTTAGTGTTTGCGGCGGAAGGAATCGGAGCGGCAGAGATTGAATCAGAAACCATGGCTGAACCTTGGGATTTGATTTTTCAAAGAGATTTGCAAAAACCCTAATTTGCGACGAAGATGAAACGATAGAAAATTCTAGAGAGAACGAAAGATGGAAAACTTGGAGAGATAACAAAAATGGATCACGGTAACTACTCTGATCCTTACGCCCTTTTTTTGCCTCACAAAGAGGGTCCGTGTGGATTTATTGGATCCTTAATTACCAAATTACCCCTTAGTTTGTAAAAATATTCAACAAGATTAATGTAATAATTTGTTGAAATTTGACAAGTTTAGGGTTATAAAGGTAAATAACGCAAGTGGAGAGGAATGCAACACGACGTCGTCTAATTTGCTCGTATACGCAAGTTATTTTTAACCTATCGTTTTGATTAATTAGATTGACGATGTTATTAATTATTTTTACATATATTCACAAAAACGAAAATTATTTTTGAGGTCTTTAAAAACGAAATATGTATGTTTTAGACCAAAACTAAATTGTGTTTAAAGGACTCGATCACGAGTATTTTTATTAAAGATTTTACAAAAATAGTTTTTGTTTTGATATAAAAGTGGTTACTTTTGCTAATGTACTCCACTTTAGTTTCACAACAAAAAAATAGTTTGTTTTGATATAAAAGTGGTTACTTTTGCTAATGTACTCCACTTTAGTTTCACAACAAAAAAATAGTGAGAAAATTAAATGTGACAAAATGGATATGTCTTTTTGGATATGTCTGTTTTATCTATTCTTTTTTATAGAGTGAATTAAGATTTTAAATTTAAACTCTTTAATATATTTGTTATATTTTATTTTATTTTTATGTGAATTTTTATTGAGGCGGATATTAATAAGAAAATTTATAATTTTTAAATTTAAAAGGTGTAGTGTCACGATTTATTCTGTCCTATGCTCATTTTTTTCAAAATAGTATAAGATTTTAAGTTTACATTTTCAACAAAAGTGTATACTGCTCTGTCATATTTTTTTAACACTGTATAAAATGAAATTAAATGGAACAGACATGTTTCTAAAAGAAAAAAGTGAAAGGACCTCACATAAATTTTATTAATTATGTATTTAATTAATTAATATATAATTAGGAAAGTTGGTTTCGAATAAACACAAAATTAACGATGTTGAAATTAGAAGTGTCTTAATCATGGTTTTTCTTTTATAAATAACTAAATTAATAAAATAAATAAATGTTTATAAATCAAAATAAATTTTATTTTGTTCTAACACAAAATGTCAAGAATATAGTATAGTGACAAAATCATTTTTTTCACAAATCTAATATTATTATTTTATCATTTTTTGAGAAACATCTTTCATGTATTTTGTGACACAAAATTATCCATAAATACCACTAAATAAAATGAACAGCATAACTAAATAATAATAACAACAATTACACTAAATTTTTTATCTTAACAAAAATAGCAATGTCATTCAAGAAAACAATAACATTAATGTACTCTACTTTGATATCAATCACAATAAAAGATAGTGAAAAAATTAAGGGTCGCAAAATAAATTTGGTTGTCAGACACGCTTGTTTATTCCGCAATCTTTTATAGAGATGACTAATGTTTTAGTCCACATTCTCTAATAGGATGTATGTGGGTCGGTTTAGGTCGGATTTAGCCAAATTCAATGCTAATTCATATAAAATACTCTGATTTGCGTGAGGTAAAATAAGATGAATTAACTTGTCACTCCCTCACTTATACATGACATCATCACATATTATATGTTTTTATCATTATATCATTGCCTAAAGTTATCAAATTTTAAAAAAATGAGTTTTTATTGGAAATTTCAAAACTATACCGAAAATTTTGAAAAAATATAAAAAAAATTGAAATTTCCGATAAAAAATCATAATTTTCATGAGTTCTTACTAAAAATTTTGAAATTTCCAACAAAAAAAATCATAATTTCATGAGTTTTTATCGGAAATTTCAAATTTTTTGGAAAAAATCTTGAAATTTGTTACCAAAAATTTTTAATTGTATGGTTTTTATCGAAAATTTCAGTAAAAACTCAAGAAACTCGGGAAATTTCAATAAAATTTATATCGACAATTTTAAAATGAACGACCAGAATTTTGGTTTGTTACCGAAAATTTTGAATGAACTATTCGAAATTTCATTCTCACTTTTTAACTCAAATTTGTCCATAGACAGTTTGGGAAACTTAATTTTTTAAAATACTACAGTATGAGTCGACCCATAAGACTTGGGAGTCGACCCATAACGTCCAGAAACCTAATTTTTGAAAATGTTACAGTACGAGTCGATCCATACGAGCTAGGAGTCGACTCTTAACCCTGTTTTTCACATCAAATCTTAATTTTCTTTGTTTTGACCATAACTTGAGGTTCGTAATTCCGTTTGAGGCGTATTCGAAATATTAGAAAGCTAACATGAATTACTATTAATTGGAATTGTTTTAGGGGCTAAATGTATTGTGATAACATGAGTAATTGATGATAATTACATGTATTGTTGTTGCTATGTTGGTGATACTATGGTGGGTATGTTTGTGAGTGTTTGGATTGTGTTGAGAATGAATTATAACATGCTTGTGTTGCACTGCTCATTTGATAATGTTCATGTAGTAGTTTTTGTTGAGATGTAATCTAGAGAGGGGATTACAAGAGTTGTCAACGTGTTATGTTAGGATCAGAGATGAGTCTTAACGCATTGATTTGATGATATGCTCATGCATCATACGAGTTGTGTCAAAAGGCATGTCACTAGTTCATAGTGTTAGACGATGATGACTTATCTAGAGGGGGTTGAATATTTTACCAAGTCAAAAATACCAATCAAAATTTGGTAGTTAAAATTTTTATTTGAATAGAGTGCAAGCGAAAGGTTTTAGTGTAGATCGATAAAAGTCGTCTATACGAACCTAGTTATTTAAACTCGGATATGCAAAAAGCCTTATAGAATAAATGAGTTGATAAGAGGAATTAATACACTTAAAACAATCAACACTTTATTACCCGTTTAACACAATTAACTAGCAACCTATTTCCAATTTAATTAAACAAAAATATAGAACAATGTGATTTGTCGAATACTTGGTGTGCGGTCGAATTTTTAGAATTTTTCTTTGAGTTTTATTGATGTGAAAAAACACTTATAGTCAAAGTGATTATAAGCTAATCAACAAATCAATTTAAGCAAAAACAATCACAGAAAAATTCTTACGAGTCGATCAATCAAATAATATAATTCAACAAATTACGTAATTAAAAATAAAAACGAGTAAAGAGATAAGAGAGAGCGACACAAGGATTTGTTAAGGCAGTTCACCACATCGTCCTTGCTAGTGACTACGTCTGCCCTCAATTTCAAATGAAATTGAGAAGTCAATTCTTACTTTGCAAAAAGGTATTACAAGAGAAGTGTTCCAAGAGCAACCTCACAAACCATAACTGTTTGTTGTTGATTCAACCCCTTCTCTTCCTTTGATCTTGAGCAATACCCAAACACAATAGCTACCAATTGATTTATCGAATCTTACTACTCCTTTGGGTTACCCTAACTCCAAAGCTCTTTCACGCACGATCAATTGTATCTATTAAACACAAGAGCTTCCAATTTGATTCGTCGTTCTCTCGTTACTCCTTTGGGTTTCCCTAACTTCAAAGCTTTCACTTGGTCGCAATCCTCTTTGGAAAGTCTTGTACAAAACCCCCAAATCTACCAAAGATCTTGGAGGATAAATCCTGAGTTTTTTCAGATGAAACCCCTGTTAGTTTCATGTGTTTATGGTTGGCTAAATTTTGGCTAAGCATGATTCTGAACATGGTTCTATGTTAATGGTGAGTAAGATGTTGCAGCATCTGTATCAACTATCATAACAGTTTTATTGTTATGTGTTTTTCAGTCAGATGTCATGACATCTTGATCTCATACTGCAGTATAGCAGAAAATTTTGTTTTAAATCTTGACATATTTCATTTGATTCTAAAATATTTCTTTTGGATTTGTTTCAGAAAATGTCATAGGTCAAGAAGATTTTATCTGGAACAAGGTTTTGTATCTCCAGCTGTACATTGGTTACTAAATTGGGCCTTGAGACAATTTAGGAAACTTTGTATTATTTGTTCTAAAACCTAAGGATATTTTGCTGCACAATAGATATAACTCTCAACTTGTGGGTCAAGAAATATCTGATGGAGATTTCGAAGTCCATGGATTGAAGAAGTGTATTTAAAGAGAAGACCTAAGCTAATGTACCTAGTTCTTTCAACAATTGTAAAATTAGGGGAAGAAAAAATAGTCTTAGGTTTTGAGAGTCTCTTGTGTATTGTATGGTGTAAGTCACTCTTGTATCTTTTGATACTTGTGGTCGACATTATGTTCTCACTCAGAAGCCTTTAGGCAATGAGTTGAGTGTTGTTCTTGGATGAAGCTTTTAAGCAAATCCAAGTATCGTTCGTGGTCAAAGGTCTTGGCTAAGTATTGTAATGGGAGTGTGATCTTCTTGTTGAGCTATACTCAATACAGTCATTAGGATTGAGACTGTTAGATATCACCGATATGATTTAGGAAGTGAGATGGCGATTTCTCATATATATGAGGTGTCTAGGTAGAAGTAGCATTGGATAGGGATTAGACGAGTAAGCGGGAGAATTTAGTTTTGAACTAATATTGCTGATAGTGGACTTCCTTCTTGGTTTGGTAGCTCTCAGATGTAGATAATGTTGCACTGAACTGAGTTAACAACTCTATGTGTTATTTATCATTTTGCAGTTTAAATTTCAGTATTTGTTATAATTTGATAAATTTGTTCAAGATGTCAAATCATATGTTGTAACATTTGTTTTGACATTGTTCTGATGTTAAAAATCAGTATTATCATATGTTGCCTGTACCAGAGAGATGTCAAATTGGCCGGACAAAGTCTCTTCTAATAGAGGTGTATTTTCATTTGAATTCTTATTTGTATCTTAAATTAATTAATTAATTAACTTCTTAGCTTCTGTTAATTCTG